GCCGCGCATCCCACAGCGCCACCTGCGGGCGGAGGTTGAAATGACCCGCCAACCCCGCCCGGAGCGGTCCTTTGGGGTCCAGTCCTGCAGGGGCGCGACGCGGTCGAGGAAGAATTAAAGGGGGCTCTGGGAGGGTGAGAGAGAGTGATGTCCCCAAGCCCATCATCATACCAGTGACAGCACCAGATGTAGTGCGAGCTGTAATTCTAGCATAAGAATTTATTCTAGGGAAATAATCAGATGATTTATTTATTAGATTTGAAAATATTATTTCTGTTTGTTTATTTATTGTTGAGTCAGAGTCTCTCACGGCTTCTGCAGCCTCGACCTGTTGGGCTTAGGTGATCCTTCCGCCTCAGCCTTCTAAGTAGCTGGAACCGAAGGTGCACGCCACCACGCCCAGCTAATTTTTTGATTTACTGTAGAGATGAGGTCTCACCAAGTTGCCCAGGCTGGTCTCCAACCCTTGAGCTCAGGCAATCCTCTCACCTCGGCCTCCCAAAGTGCTGGGATTATAGGCGTGAGCCACTGCACCCAGCCAGAAAAATATTGTTTATTTAAAAACTAAGTTAGAGGTGGGGTTGGTGCTCAGCCTGTAATCCCAGCACTTTGGGAGGTGGAGGCAAGAGGATTGGCTGAATCCATGGGTTCAAGACCAGCCTGAGCTACCTGGGGAACCCTCGTCTCTACAGTAAATAAATAAATAAAATTAGTTGGGCATGATAGCGCCCACCTGTAGTTCCAGCTACTTGAGAGGCTGAAGCAGAAGGATCGCTGGAGTCCGGCAAGTCGACATTGGGGTGGCCGTGAGTGTGCCACTGCACTCCAGCCCAGGCGACAGGGTGAGACTCCAACTCAAAAAACTAAGTTAGAAAGAGAGAAAGAGGAGATTCACCTTCCCAAAGTAGGGGAGGGGGCTAATATCAGGAAACATGGCCAGGCCATAGCTCAAAGAGCACATGGCCACATCATAGCTTAGCAAGGCAATGACTGCCATGGGCTGGTAATAATCAGATGTATTTAGCAAAGCCTTATTTGACCCAATTGAATTCTCCAATACTGCAGGATTTGTTTTGTAAAGCATGGTGCTTTCATGCAACGTCAGCACCAGCAACCATTAAAACTCATCCTTGCTGGGAGTGGTGGCACACACCTGTAGTCCCAGTTGCTCTAAGAGGCTGTGAGGCAGGAGGATGCTTGAGCCCAGGAAACAGAGGCTGCAGTGAGCTGTGATCACACCACTACCCTCTATGGCTGGCAACAAAGTGAAACATCGTAAAACAAAATCCTGTAGAGCGGAGTCCTCCTCCCCCAGGGCCATGGACCATGGCCTGTGAGGAACCAGGCAGCACAGCAGGAGGTGAGCAGCAGGTGAGCGAGCAAAGCTTCCTCTGTATTGACAGCCCTTCCCCATCGTTCGCATCACCGCCTGAGCTCTACCTCTCATTAGATCAGTGGCAGCATTAGATTCTTATAGGAGTGTGAACTTTGTTATGAACTGTGTACGCGAGGGATCTCGGTTGCAGGCTCCTTATGAGGATCTCGTGCCTGATGATCTGAGGCGGAGCTCAGATGGTGATTCTAGCACTGTGGAGCAGCTGCAAATACAGATTCACATGAGCAGTGAGATCTGTCTGCACATAAACCACAATAAATCAATTGCTTGAAGATGCCTATCAAAACCCGCTCAGTGAGCAGCAAGTGAGTTGATGGACTTCAATTGCACAGCTGCATCTGGGGGGCAGGCTTTCAGCCACAATTCCACACACGTGGCCCACCCATTATTTTATTGACCACTTCTGTCCACACCTCTTTTTTAAAAGGATGAATTGTATAATTATTTTATTACATATGACAATGTAATAATAATAGAAATAAAGTGCACCATAAATGTTATGCCTTTGAATCATCCCGAAACTATCCTCTTGCCCCCATCCATGGAAAAATTGTCTTCTGCGAAACTGGTCCCTGATGCCAAAAAGGTTGGAGATGGCTGCAGAGGGATATCAAATTTAAAAAATGTTGATGCTGCATTACTGAGTTTAAAAAAAAAAAAAAGACTGGCTATAGAACAATAAGTTCAATGTGACCATGTTTTGAAATGTTTGTTTATGTAAAAAAAAAAGTGTACAGTTCTAAATGGTAGGAATACGGGTGACTTTTGTAATGTCTTATGCAGCAGTTCTCAGCCTGGATTACATTTTCTCCCCAGGAGGCATTGGGTGAAACCTGGAGCCATTATTGGTTGTTTCAATTGGAGGTGGGGTTGGGGGTGTTACTGGCATCATATAATAAGATAGAACTGAATGTGCAAAACATAAAGAAAAGTATATACCCAGAGAGGTAAGCAGGACACTGGAGGTGATGTTGAATAACAGCCATTGTCAAATCAGGTGAATTTAGTATCCATTTTCAGGCTTTCCGGGGACACAAAGTTCTGAAGTCAAAGTCAAGGGCCCTCTTCTGATGAGGAATCCTGTGAGTAGAGGGCAAGCTGCCACTAACAGCCGGCAACACAAAACAGACCAGCTCCGCAACAAAGCATTATCCAGCCCAAGATGACAATGTTACAGAAATGGAGCGACCCTGCTCTGTTTTTTTAAGGGTTCTGCACTAAGCTCACATTTGTAATTAGAAAATGTTATTTTTTTAAACTTGGGGCTGGAAGCAGTCAGTGGTTCAAGACTGTAATCCCAACACTTTGGGAGTGCGAAGAGGATCGTCTGAGCCCAGGAGTCTGAGACCAGCCTAGGCAACATGGTAAGACCTTGTCTCACAAAACATTTAAAAAAATTAACTGGGCATGAGGTATGTGTCTGAAATTCCAGCTAATCAGGAGGCTGAAGTAGGAAAATCGCCTGAGCCCAGGAATTTGAGGCCGTGGTGAGCTGTGATCATTATTGTGCCACTGCACTTCAGCCTGGGCAATAGCGTGAGATTCTGACTCAAATAAAAAAGTAAAAATAAAGTAGGAAGGAAACTATTACATCATCTTCCTTACTGTGATCGTGTTAAAAAAAAAAACTAAAAAACAAATTTTTTTAAACTAGTTTTCTCATTAAAAATTTTATTTTGGCTGCTCACAGTGGTTCTCACATGTACTCCTAGCACTTTGGGAGGCAGAGATGTGAGAAGTGCCTGAGCCTATGGATTGGAGACCAGCCTGAGCAACTTGGCAACACTTCGTCTCTACAATAAATAAAAGAATTAGCTGGGTGTTGTGGCACGTGCCTGTAGTCCCAGCTACTTGGGAGACTGAGGATCACCTGAGCCCAGCAGGTGGAGACTGCGGTAACCGTGAGCATGCCACTACATTCCAGCCTGGACAACAGAGTGAGACTCCAAAAAAAAAAAAAAAAAAGACTCCAACTTAAAAAAATTTTATTTCACTTTGTTTTGTTGTATTCAAGCTATCTTGGTGGTGTTTTCTTTTGAGTGCCTACTATGCTTCAGACAGATGGCCAACGCTACAAAGATGATCACTAAACACAAGTCATTGTGGTAGAGTTCCTGACTCCTGTATGGGAAATATGTAACAAGGAGATTGAAACTTTACCCTAAACCAGTCTCAGTAGAGTATCATGTCCACCCTCTTCCCTCCCCCCCCCAAAAAAAAACAATAGTCCTGCTGGGGGAAGAGAGAGGAAGCTTGAAAATGGATACAAGTCTTTACTGAAGAGTTTTTGAGACGATAGAAAGAGATTAATTATATTGTGAAACAGACAGCAGAATGTGCTTAACAAAAACTTCATTTTATATCATTTTCCCCTAAACGTTTCTCTTCTCCACTTCCACTTCCCGGCCCCACACAGATCACACCCCCCACTTGTCCTCTCCTGCCATTTCTCTTCTCTCTTGCTGATTCTCACAGAGAGTTCATCATACTGATGTTGAGAGCAAAGGTGTGCTCAGTGCTTTACATACATTATGAGGAAAAATACTATTATTATGACCGTCCCCATTTTAAAGATGGGAAAAGTGAAGCAAAATGAAGTCAAGTAGCTTGCCCAATATTACACAGCAGAAAAAGCCAGGATATAAAGTCAGACAGTCTGACTCCACAGTCTGTATTCTTTTTTTTTTTTTGAGTTGGAGTCTCACTCTATCACCCAGACTGGAGTGCAGTGGCTGCTCCCGGCCACCGCAGCCTCGACCTGCTGGGCTCCGGCGATCCTTCCGCTTCAGCCTTCCGAGTAGCCGGAATTACAGGCATGCGCTACCACGCCTGGCTAATTTTTGCTTTATTGTAGAGATGAGGTCTCGCTGCCCAGGCGGGTCTCGAACCCACGAGCTCAGGCAATCCACTCACCTCAGCCTCCCAAAGGCACGGAATTACAGGCTGAGCCACCGAGCCCGGCTAGTCTGTATTCTTAACAACTGTCCCATATTGATTTGCTTTTTCAAAATCCATATTAAAGTTCCATTTATGATAATATGATAGACTGGAAAATCACCCAGCCTAAAATAAAAAAACTAAAACAACACACAAAATATAAAATTAAATAGCTGACAAGATGGTGAGAACTTACAAGTGCAAAATATAAAGAAAAGTATATACCCAGAGAGGTAAACAGGACACTGGTGTTGATGTGCAAAAAAGCCAGTTCCAAATCAGACGAATCCAGTGTCTGCTTTGATGCCCACGGTGGGGGGTGGGGGGGGGGCACAAAGTTCTGAAATCAAAATCTAGAAACCAACTCAGAGAAGGAATCCAGTGGCAGACCTCCCTACATAACAGCAGAACCAGAAGGAAACTCAACCAATTCAACTCTCAGAAGACTGAAAGGAAATTTGACATTGGGAAAAGCGGTAATTGGGGATGGGGTAGAGCAGACTAATTGCTTGTCTTGGAGATATTACAACCATGAGAAGGTCATTAGACAGATGCCCAATCTAAAGATGTGCACCCATATGAACCAAAAAACTTCGAGCTGTGAATGTAATGTTAAGTGGTTGGAATTAGTAATGTCTAGAAACTTTATTGTAGCAAACACAAATCCTTTTTGGCCCTGCATTGGGCCTCAAATAGTTTTTACAACTAATTTCCAAGAAAAATTAAAATAAAGTCACAATATACAGGGGGTGCCAAAAAATGTATACACATTTAAAGTGTGACATTTGCCTAAAAGATGACATTTATCAGCTAGGTGCAGTGGCCCATGCCTGTAATCCCAGCACTTTGGGAGGCGGAAGCAAGAGGATTGCCTAAACCTAGGGGTTGGAGACCAGCCTAGGCAATTTGCTGAGACCTCGTCCCTACAATAAATCACAAAATTAGCCAGGCGTGGTTGTGTGCAACTGTGGTTCCAGCTACTTGGAAGGCTAGGTGCAAGGATCGCCCGAGCTCAGCAGGTTGAGGCTGCAACGGCCCTGAATATGCCACTGCATTCCAGCTTGGGTAACAAAGAGAGACTACAACTCAAAAAAAAAGATGGCAGAGGTGAGTGGATTGCCTGAGCCCACGGGTTCGAGACCGCCTGGGCAACTTGGCGAGACCTCATCTCTACAATAAATAAAAAATCAGCCCGGTGTGGTAGCGTGCGCCTGTAGTTCCAGCTACTTGGAAGGTTGAGGCGGAAGTATCGCCGGAGCGCCGGAGCCCAGCAGGCCAAGGCTGCGGTCATTGCACTCCAGTCTGGGCGACAGAGTGAGACTCCAACTCAAAAAAAAACCAAACAAAAACGAGCCGAGTGTGGTACTGAGAGGACCATAATAGAGTATGCTATAAACTTAGGTTAAAAGCATGTTATAACCCAATAAATATATAATCGACTTGTGGACAATAGCACAGCCATTTTTAGTTTTTAGTTTTCTGTCTTAAAACATAACCTGTAACTGTTTAAAGTTCCAGTTATGGGAAAAACTGCAAAGCTCCAGTTATTCTTCCCTTATCTCACTTTCCCCTTAGCAACAACCAATCAGGTGCCAGGGGGTAGTCACCTAAGTTTCCAGATGTCTCTGCAACTTCCCCAGCTAGTGGACCAAGGTCAGCCCGAGTCAGGCTAGTCAATCCTCTACGATTAAGTTGACCACCAGAGGAACTACCCAATTAAATGGTAACAACACTGGAAAGCCCCCCCAAACTCCTCCTCCCTTTGTGTAAAAGCATAAAAGGCACCTGCTTAAAGAAATCAGAGCCTCTGTATGTACTCCGCTGTGTCAGTTGTCGATAGAGGTCCAGGCTCGAGCTTGTAAATAAAGACCCTTTTGAACTTTCATAGGAATTGGCTCTTGGTGGTCTCTCGGATTGAACAATCGGCCACTACAGTACCTCATGCCTGTAGTTCCAGCTACTTGGAAGGCTGAGGCTGAAGGATCGCCTGAGCCCAACAGGTCAGGACTGCTGTGGGCATGAGCATGCCACTGCCGCATGCCTGTGGTTCCAGTTACTTGGAAAGCTGAGGTGGAGGAGGGGGGATTTTTGCAGTTGGCATTGCTAGGGAGTAACTAAAGCTTGTGATTAAGCAAGATGAAGTTAGGCTAGGTGCTAGACAGGATGCATTGCAGCCTAGCCTGGTTAATAATTTTTCCATCCCAGGGCAAACAGAGGCGATGTTTTAGTCTGCTTGGCTGCTGTAAGAAAATACCATAGTTGTGGGTGGCGGTAACGCAGTTTCTAGAGGCTCTCACAGTTCTGGAGGCTGGAAGTCAAGATCAAGGTGGGGAAGCCATGGTTTCTGGTGAGGGCCTCTTCCTGGTTGTCAGAGGTCTCTTCTCACTGTTCTCACATGAGTGAGAGAGGAGACAAGCTCTCCACTGTTCTTCTCATGAGGGTACTCATTCCTCGTGGGAGATCCACTTTCTTGACCTCCTCTCCATGGACTCTCCTCCCCGTGGTTACATCTCCAAACACCCTTACTTGGGAGATGGGCCTCCTTATCTGGATTTGGGGAAATAATTCAGTCCACAGCATGTGGCAATGCCCAGGCTCAAGTGTTGACTTAAGGGCAGCCTAGAGATGTGGGCTTAGAAAGCTTGGGCATGGGGAAGCCATCAGCACTGGCCGAGGGAGCCGCTGGGCATTGACCAAGGCAGCCATAATTTTTTTTTTCTTTTTGGAGTTGGAGTCTCACTCTGTCGCCCAGGCTGGAGTGCAGTGGCATCTCGGCTCCCCGCAGCCTCGACCTGCTGGCCTCAGGCAATCCTTCCGACTCAGCGTTCTAAGTGGCTGGTATTGCACCAAAACACCCGACTAACTTTTTGATTTATGGTAGAGATGAGGGCTCGTCAAATTGCCCAGGCTGGTCTCGAACCCGTGGGCTCAGGCAATCCTCTCACCTTGGCCTCCCAACGTGCTGGGATTATAGGCGTGAGCCACTGTGCCTGGCTGGTGAGAATCTTTAAGGACAACGTCCCCAACCTTTTTGGCCTCAGGGATCGTTTCCTGGAAGACAAATTTCCAGCTATGGGGTGGGGGGAGGGCCGTGGGAGGATCACGGGCCCTTGGATGCTCCCAGGGAGCCGCACCAGGATATCGCCATGTGCATTTCTCAGCAGGGCTCACTCCTGAGAGCAAAGGCCAGCAGGCGGAGCTCGGGCGGTGATGTGGGCGAGGAGGGGAGTGGCTGTCAATACTGGGGCTGCTTCACTCACCAGTCTGGCGCTCACCTCCGGCTGTGCGGCCGGGTTCCCCACAGGCCACAGCCCGGGGCTTGCTCATGGGATGGGTGGTAGGAAAACCCGGCGAACGACCCCCGATGGGCGAGGCTCCCGCCGCCGCCGAGGGAGGGAGATGGGGAGGCGGGGGCTTGGGGGAGCGACCCCTGCCATTCGGCCTCTACTGCACGCACGTGTGCCTCTATTTTCTTCCTCCATGCCCCGGGCAGGCTCTCCAGCACTGGCCGGGGGGCCCCGTTAGGGTCTCAAGTTTCCCCCCCCTCCTGGCGAGGCCCGCGGACATCCGACGGGAGCGCAGGTGCAGGGGGCGCGGCCCCGCGGCACCTAGACCCCGCAACCAGCCTCCCGCTTCGGCCTCTCTCCCCGACTCCCCGGGGTCGCGGCGGGGGAGGCGGGGGCCCGGG